TGCTGCGTTATCGAAAATGTTATCCTGAACTGTTAAGTCGCCATAACGTGTGGACGTTAAAAATAGCATTTATGATACAGCACAGGGCTGAATGTATACGTTTTATACAGAATAAAGTTGTAGGTAGCATATCCTTACTGATTATATATTTCTATTTATAGATGAAGATGATGTCGGAAGAGGATGCGCTTGAAACCAATGTATCTGAAATCCTTGATTCGCCCGAAACTACTACCTTGCCATTATTTGAGGGACAATTTCAATGGAACAAGGCAAGCTCTTTGAAAACGCCTTTGTCCGAAAACCTAACGCAAAAGCATGTAAGTTTTTCATCAAATTAAACTAAAGTTGCTCTCAATATTATCAGGAATCTAATAAAACTTTATGCAAAGCAGCCACGCACACCCCAGATGTCAAGTGGTCGAAGACGCCCTAATACCACGGTACGAGCTCTCGCTTCATCGCTGTTAGCCGGTAAATATGATCAGCTAATGGATAAACGGCTAGCAATAGCCGACTTGGAAAAACAGAAGCTGGAAAACGATTTAAAATTTCAAAAAGAAGAACAAGCTCTGAAATTGGAGCTCTTGAAACTTCAAATCATCAATGAAAAGAAAAGATTATAAAAATATAATTTATTGTTACATATTTTTGTAATATGGTAATAATAACGTAAATGCAATGTTTAGTTTTCCTTGGACATCCATGCAGTACCTTCTATAAGTTTGCAAAATAGTCGTTCACTAATGTATTTCTAAAATTAAGATTATGGGAATTAACATTAGGGATATCAGGTATTTGTCCAGCTGCAATGAGATAATTAAGCTCATTCAAATTAACGTTTTCTGGTGGTGGAAGCTCCGGCTCATTATTTGCTCTGGCAATATTATGCAGAACAGCGGTGGCCAGAATAACTGGCATAACAGTAGACACTTTCAGTCGTAAACCGTAGGCTAGTACAGGAAAACGTATTTTCCAGACGCCAAACAGCCTCTCAATACAATTCCGCGTCCGAATATGAGACTCATTATAAAGCCGTTCAGTCCTAGTTCCAGTATTAGCCAATGGGGTTAGCAAGTATGATTTTAAAGGGTATCCGGAATCACCTATAATAATTACATATTTCATACATTATTAGAAAC